GTATCATCCAGTCCCTCCCAAGATACACTGGTCCTCGGAATTCACAATTTACTTGACTAACTATGACTTTAGACATTTTAGTGGATTTTCATCAAGAGTATGGTGTTAGACGATAATGTGAAATTCGTTGAAGGGTAATGCATCGAGTCTGACAGAATTCCTTCGCTGAAAGGGGGGGTCTGCCTAGCAAAAGGGTGTGGCTTAACACTTGTCATCAGACTCAGTCCTATCAGTGAGGGGATGATGTCAACCCAGTTTGGATGATACCTCCACCCTATGAGAAGAGGCGTATCAGGTAAGTACCAACGCCCTTTTAATGTATTCTTTTAGTCTGTATTCATTTTTCCAAGTAGTTCTGTGTAACAATACATACAGTTATTTGAATTACATTAAAGTACTGAGGAACAGTGAGAGCTGTCAGAACGTATGTTTTGCTAAATCTGTATATATAGCAATAGCAATAGCAGTTAGACTTATATACCGCTTCATAGGGCTTTCAGCCCTCTCTAAGCGGTTTACAGAGTCAGCATATTGCCCCCAACAATTCGGGTCCTCATTTTACCCACCTCGGAAGGATGGAAGGCTGAGTCAACCCTGAGCCGGTGAGATTTGAACAGCCGAACTGCCGAACTAGCAGTCAATCACTTATCCTCCCTACTGGTTTGCAAATGTGAACGTCCACGCATGCACTGCACCTTCCATGCATGCACTTTGCCTAAAAAAGTGAGAGCTGAGGTGTGTGGGCGGAGCCACCTGCAATTTTTGCTACCGGTTCGGGCAAACTGGTCCGAATCGGTAGAATACAATCACTGGATGCTACTCTCCTTGATTAGCTTCCATCCATTCTTTCTCTTCTTGCCTTTGCCGGCTTTTGACTGCTGGCTGAGGAATTCTGGGAGTTGAAGTCCACAAGTCATAAAGTTGCTACGGTTACAAATCCCAGCATTCTGCTCTATGAACTTGGCAGTAGTTGAACAGAAAAGGAAATCTGAATTGGAGTGAAAAGCAAAACGAAAATGTTACCCCGGTGTATCAACTGAGGAAAGGAACATTTTATGCTTGGAATCATAACAAAAAAAAAAATGAAGGTGGAATTGCGGGAATAATAGCCCTTATACAAATCTAGGGCAAGACTATACTTAAGAGTTCTGTACAGGGTACAGTTTTGGCCATCACACCTTAAATTTATTACAGAGCTCCAAAAGGCAGAAAATAGGGCAAACCAAATGATGATAGGACTGGCGCAGTTCTATTTTGAGGGAGGAAAAAATCACAGCCATGGGGATGTTTGGCTCAGAATGGAGGGGGAGACATAATAGATATAGCACGGTAAAGATGCATGGAGAGAAATTGTATGTCTGTCTTTTTTCTTTTCTTTCTCACAATTCTACAATGTGAGATCTAAACACGGGAACATTCAGAACCTAAAGCAAGCAAAGACTTTCCCCTCTCCCACAAATTGTAGAATGAAATATAATTGTGCAGTCAACAGTTGGGAAAAAGAACAACCAGTTTGAATAGTTATAAACAGGGATGGGTCCGTGTGTGATTCAAACGGTCCCTGGTAACTTCTATTGTTGGTTGTTTACTACCATCAACCACACAAACAATAACTCCATTAATATTGCACTATACGGTAGAGTTCAATATAGTCACTGCTCTGGGATAGAAGCTGTTTTTCAGCCTATTTGTCCTTGTTTTTATTGTCCTGTACCGTTTGCCAGATGGTAATAGTTCAAACAAAAAGGGCGCCCAGGATGAGATGGATCTTTAAGAATGTTTTGAACTTTCTTAAGGCAGCGGGAGCTCTAAAGGTCTTCCAAAGAGGGAAGAGGGCAACCCATGATCCTCGGGGCAATGACGTTAACCCTCTGAAGCGCTATCCTATCTGCCACTGTGCAAACCAGACACAGGTGCAATAAGTTAAAATACTCTCTGTGGTGCATCAGTAGAAGGTCACCATCAGTTTTTTATTCAGTTGTTGTTTCCTGAGAAGTCTCGGGTCATATAATCTCTGCTGGGCCGTGCAGCATCGTGATACACCATCATTTACCAGCAATCACATCCCTGAGAAATAGAAGCGTGATTTGCCACTGACATTGGAAGATCAACAAAGGGAATAAAAGTAGATATGGTGAAGAATAGGACTGACAGAGTGAAAGAAAAAGAAAAAATCACTCTGGTATTGCACAGCTGCAGGACACTAGGGTCTCAATAATAATTATTGCCCTTAATGAGAGCTCCTATCTACAAGATTTTCAGGAATGAGAAGTATAAACCAGCTTTTGATTAAAGGTATCCAATCTGGGCTGCAAAACAGGGGCAAAGGAGTTTGAGTTTCCTATGTCACTTTGCTTCTATCTAGCAGTCATCCATTTTTTGGGAAGCTCTACTGCTTACTTTTNAGGAAGGAAACATTCTGGTGTTGTTTCTAGCCTAATCTTTATTGCCCTGCTTACAGAAACTGCCTCTCCGGTTAACCCTCATTACATTGTCCCAGCTAAGGTGAAGTGCCCATCGACCTGAGTGATGTTGAGTTGGCCATGCCCACCCAGTCACATGACCACCGAGCCCCGCCTACTCAGCTGGTCATTAGGGGAGAGAACTGGTTGTTAAATTATTTGAATCCTACCCCTGCACATTCCTAGATACATTTTTGGAGAAAAACATTATATGCAGTTTTAAATATAAATTCTGCTGCTGTTTCTTTAGAGAATTTTTTAAAATGAAACCTGTGTCAGAGATTTGGGAAACATTAACCTAATTCTAGTCTACATTTCTCAAGTGCAGCAAGATCAAATTAATGTTGCCGAAATTTGCAAAGGTCAAATTTCATCTTTAATTCTCCAAAGCATCTCTAATCCTACAAATATGATAAAAGCAGAATCCAGGAGAGCAGCAATTCTGAGTAATTCACCTGTGCCATGGACTGGAATTCAGACTTATAAAAAAAATGCAATCAATACCAAACTATCCTTTAACCTTTTAATAGAAGGGTTTGAATATTTGGCTGTTTGCTTTTGTGTGGTTCTTGTACGTCTGAACCCAAAGTCAACACACACAGGAGCAGCGTCTTTCTCTGAGGCTGCAAGAGTGAAAGCTAACATCAGAAGTTGGCCACTTGAAGACTCGCGGACTTCAACTCCCAGAATTCCCCAACCTGCCATGAATTCTGGGAGTTGAAGTCCACAAGTCTTAATGTTATCAAGGTTGAACACTTCTGAGGTAAGCTTTCACACTCCCAACCTCCCCATCAGTGGTGGGTTTCAAAATTTTTTAGAACCTCTTCTGTAGGTGTGGCTTGCTTTGTGGGAATGTCTTGCCACCCTTGTGACCAGGTGGGAGTGGCTTGCCAGCCATGTGACNAATTAAGAACTGTCTCCTTTAAGAAACTACCTCATGGGAAATGTAGGCAGAGACTGCCTTATGGGAAATGTATTTCCATAACATGTGATCACATCTGTGTTTCTGATTGGCCACCGGGGCATTTTGCCCACATGCAAAGTTTATAGCCGGTTAGTTTGAATGCCTTTGTGAACCAGAATAGTAGTGTTTGTATCTCCGCTCAGCATGGGAGTGAAATCATCATCTTTTTACACTACGTGACGGGACAGATTATGGAAAGTCAGAAGTATCTTAACACTGAACTGTAAGTTTTGCTATTAAGAATGCCTGATAACAAACTTGATTTGAATAATATTTCTAAGCATGGAGTTAACTGCATGCCCGGAGCAAGCCTACAACGCTCAAGGCAGAACACGGGCCATCAAGATTTTAGAGATGCTTAGGTGGGACATGGCCAAGAAAAAGGCTGGGAACCAAAGGCTTAGACATATGCTGCTTTACAGTGCTTTAAAATGCATTCTAAGCAGTTTACAGAGTCAGCATATTTGCCCCCGACAATCTGGATCCTCATTTTACCCACCTCGGAAGGATGAGTCAACTTTGAGCCTGGTGAGATTTGAACTGACAAATTGCAGTCAGCCAGCAGTCAGCAGAAGTAGCCTGCAGTACTGCACTCTAACCACTGTGCCACCGAGGCTCTCATGGAATAATGAGGATGCCATAATGGTCATAAAGTATGAAAAATAGTCATAAGATGCATTTTTCAGTGCTTTAGTAAGTTTGAACAATCACTAAATGAACTCTTGTATATTGAGCGAGTCCTGCAGCTGAGGACTAGGGTACCACTACATCTTTATTAAATTAAATTCTCTGTTGCTTTCCATCTCCCTTTTGCTCTACAGTTTAAGCCTTCAATCTAATCAAATAGCAACTGGATTGAGGAGAGAGAGAGAGAGAAAACCCTCACTGTAATGCTGGCATTTTGCCAACCTAGCTCTTATAAACCGTGGTTAACGGCTGTAATGAACTAATCCAGCAGACATATTAATAATGACACGAAGAGACACGTTTATTGTTGATTGCTTAGTCTGTGACAGATTTATCACAGGGTTTCGGCGAGAAAAAGCTGGTGCAATTAAAACCAGATTGAGTAGAGGGACAAAGAATCAATAATCTAACCGGGCAACTTTTACAATTTGAAAAAAAACAAACCACAGATATAAATGAATTGACATGAACATGGCTTCTAATGGGGAATTAATGCTGGGCCTGGCTGGCCAATGAGAGCGGGAGACTCAGACAGTACGCTGTTCACCAAGCATTTATTGGATGTTAGATATGTGTGTGGGTGNAAAAAAGGGCATGAATAGCCCTTAAGAGGCTTGTAGAATGCTCCTGGGGGAGGGGACCCCCCAAAATGAGCAAAAATGGCCTGTTTTTTGTCAAAAAAGGGCATGGATAGCCTTATGGAGGGTTATAGAGTGTTCCTGGGGGGGGGGGGCAAAATTGAGCAAAAAAGCCCCCAGCAGCTCCCTGAAAGCCTCCATAAGGCTATGCACGGCCATTTTGGTGAAGATAGGTTTTATTTTCAGGAAAACAGGTTATCTACGGCATTTGTTCATTCATCCTTAACCAGTGGAAGCCCCTCATTTTTAAATGAAAGAATTCAAGGTAGAATTGGATGGTCCAGAAAAGGACCGACAACCCATTTTTATTAATAAAACCCTGAGGACCTCTAACCCTGAACAATTAAAGAAAAAAAATCACGGAGCCTCCTCATGTTCATTTCATCAGTGAACATCCACCGAGTCTTACCTTGGACGATAAGATGAACTCGTGATGTTTTGGGATGATTGTCTGTCTGTACAGAGCAGGTATAGGGGCCTTCATCATATATGTCCACGTTATGGATCTTGATACTGTATTGAGTTTTGGTGTTGGTGAGAATGACCACCCGGTCATCTATCGACCACTTATCATTTCCAGCATAAAGAATCGTGCTTCGGTTCAGCCAAGCAACTCGCGTGACTCGGTCGTCCACAGTACACCTAAGAAAATGAAGAAAGAGCACGAAAAGGAATTGGTTGTTATTGCTTTCTGGCAGAGAACATCATATCATGAATTCCTGTTCCTGATCTCTGTTATTTTTCAGTCGTTTAGCCGCCCCATTAAAAATGTCTGCACCCATGCGAATTTTTTTAAAGTAAAATAAAATCATGGATAAAACTGATCAGATGGTACATTTCCTCCCTTTCTCCTGTTGGGATGAAATTCAACGTCCTCAGAACTTGAATTTTTGTTCCTTTGAATGGAAACCATCTGCTTTTTGCTTAAAATACTTAAATAAAATATTATGTTAGCATTTGCGATAGTGGCGAACATCTGTAGCTCGGGTGTAGGTGCTCACCCATCACAAAACCCATTACAAGACCCTCACCTGATGTGACTCTCACCTGACGTGACCTCCACATCACAAGACCTACTGACCAGAGGAGGGTTTCTGCCGGTTTGGCCCAATCAGCCGAACTGATAGTGATGGTGGCAAGAGGCTTCGCCCACCCACCTGGATGCTTCTCTGCATGCACAAAATCATCACACATGAGCCTGAACCTGTGCACGAGTGAACCAGTAGTAAAACAAATTGAAACTCACCACTGCTACTGACCACCTGAAGTTCACACCAATACTGATATCGCCTACATTCCACTGAAGATATTACCTAGCTTGGTAATGAAACATTTGGAAACCAACCCACAAGAGAATGAACTTCTACCCTCCTACTGTCTTAAAATATTTCTGCTTATTGATAATTACAATGTTAGCATACAGATATGGCAAAACCAAAAGACATCAATAGAGAATCATGTTCCCAACTCCCATTTCCAAGCTGTGGAAAAACAGCCAGCTACTAAGATATTTTCAGAACCCAAGACCCAGATATCTGTGACAGTGCTAAATCAGATTTAAGGAAGCTTTCTGAATAAACCACAATAGCTGGCTTTACATAGCGATAGCACGTAGACTTATATGCCGCTTCACAGGCCTTTACACCCCTCTCTAAGCGGTGTACACAGCCAGCATGTTTTCCCCAACAATCTGGGTCCTCATTTTGCCCACCTCAGAAGGATGAGTCAACCTTCGGCCTGGTGAAATCCAAATTGCAGGCAGCCGGCAGGCAGCAGAAGTAGCCTGCAGTACTGCACTCTAACCACTGTGGCACTGTGGCTCTTCAATTAAAGTCATGGACAGGAAGAAGGAAATACTTTATACAGGGGACAATTCTAACCACTGTATGGCACCATGGCTCATAGGTTGTCAGCCCCTGTCCATGGTTTCAAAACATAATAACAGCGTGTAGGTATCTTGCTCAGTCACATGTAATTTACACTCATTTTACATCAGGCTAAGCCTTAAACCATGGTTCGTCAACCATAGCAGCTGGGTTAGCCAAGACCGATTCAAGCAAATTGTATTAGCATGCTACATACTCCAAGCCTGTATCCATCTATTTCTCAGAATGCAGAATCTGTTGTCATTTTCACACCAAGCAAGTATGTTCATTTGCTCCGGAGAACTGCTTTCCAAGACTCGGGGATGAAACACCTACTGTGATCTGGAAGATCTTCCTTATTCATAGTGTGGAAGATCTCTAAACTCAGCTGCAGGTCAGCCTGGCATTAAATGGCAAGAGAATTCTGCAAAAAAGCCCAACCACTAACCACAATAAATTCACTATTCATTAGGCGGAATGAAAAGCTGCCCCGTGGTTTGCATCTGACAAAGAGTCACACAACAGACTGAGGTGGATTTTTTTAAAAATGCAAACTCAGTGGAGAAACATGCACTGATGCTACAGTGCAACATTTACTGCACCTCTCCCAGAGATCAACATGTGTATCTTGAGTGGCTGAAGTTGCATCAGATCTAAAAATGCGGTGAGGTTCAGCACTGCCAAGGCAGCCTTCGGTTTACGTTGAACAAACATTTGCTCGAACCTATCATCTTGCCTTCCTTTAGAGTATTGTGTAAATAGCTCCAGAGACAACAATGATACAAATGAGATTTCAATTAGCTCTCCTTTTTCTGTTGATCGAGTAATAAAGACTGTCCTTACCTGGCAAATCTCAAAGAGTAACTATTGGTAAAGGTAAAGGTTCCTCTCACACATATATGCTAATTGTTCCTGACTCTAGGGGGCGGTGCTCATCTCTGGTTCAAAGCCAAAGAGCCAGCGCCGTCCGAAGACGTCTCCATGGTCATGTGGCCAGCATGACTCAATGCCGAAGGCACACAGAACGCTGTTCCCTTCCCACCAAAGGTGGTTCCTATTTTTCTACTTGCATTTTTTACGTGCTTTNATCTATCTATCTATCTATCTATCTATCTATCTATCTATCTATCTATCTATCTATCTATCTGGCGGGGGGGGGGAGACAACCTTCTTACTATTCAGTATAAAAATGCCTCCTAGGAGAATTTTTTGATGATGTCCTTTTTTGAGATTTAACTGAAACAGATAACCTAAATTGCAGACTGTTGCTAAAAGCTAGGGATTTTACACCCAATCCCTTGTAAATAATTATGTGCAAGCATTCCTGTGCCTACCCATGAGAATTTTACTTAAACTGTCACATCATTTGAAAGGAATATCTAAAAGGGATTTCTTATTCCCTAAATTGAAAAAAAAATGGTCAAAGCTAAGATACGAATGTCTTTAAATCTACTCTTTTTTTTTTAACCAGCAGGAATACATCCTGTGGGACAGAGTGACAAAATATACAGCATTAGAGAAAAGAATAAGAGATTCAATTTAAATGCTGCTGGAGCCTTATTGACAGTGAAAAAAGCAATGCTATGTGGACTAACATTCTATATTATTTTGGGGGGTGAGGCTGGGCATACCAGCATATCACAATGTAGGAAGTTAGCATCCACCCTTCTCCTAGAAGCATGAAATATTCTAGGTAAAAGGTAATGGTTCACCTCGCACATATATGCTAGTTGTTCCTGACTCTAGAGGGCGATGCTCATCTCCGTTTCAAAGCCAGCGCTGTCCGAAGAGGTCTCTGTGGTCATGTGGCCGGCATGACTCAATGCCGAAGGTGCACAGAATGCTGTTACCTTCCCACCAAAGTTGGTCCCTATTTTTCTACTTGCATTTTTATGTCCTTTCGAACTGCTAGGTTGGCAGAAGCTGGGACAAGTAGTGTAGTGGGAGCTCACTCCATTATGCGGTGCTAGGGATTCGAACTGCTGACTTTCTGATCGACAAGCTCAGCATCTTAGCCACTAAAGCACCACGTCCCTTTTTATTCTAGGAAGCATTAAAAATGACAGAATGTTTTGTTTCCCTGGATGAGAAAAGGAGAAACATGTTTTTTTACGCAGGAAGCAGACTTACTCTTAATAGCTCCACTCTTTTCAACAGCCCACAGCAGATGTCAGCACTTGAGAGATAAAGAGATAGCTAGGTCTATTCATATGCAAATCCCTTCACCCAGGATCCAACAAAGGTGGGATCGACCCATCTAGCAACAGGGCTCACCACATGTCACCTGGGGAGATTACATCACCCAAGAAGATTCAACCAAGCTTGGGACTACCCCTGCATTGCCCCTTGGGAGTCCGACAACCAATCAGAATACATTTCTTACCCAGGAACAGGAAGCTCCAAGGTGGGGCCCAAGAGAGGGTAGAAATCAATCAAACAATCTCTCTCTCTTTTTCTTTTTTTCTTTCCTTTTTTTTTTGCCCGGGATCTCAAACCATGTGTTCTTGTCCACCATTAAACCATCTTTCCAAGCAGCTTCCATGTTTCTGGTGTCTTTCTCCCCACTTGGAACTGAACCAAACATGGGCATTTCTTCCAGCAGGAACTTCACCAGGAACACAAGCTATATTACAGAAATAGAGAAGTGTGTGTTTGTGGGGGCGGGGGGGGGAGTTTGTGGATCAGAGAAAATGTACTTTCAAGACTACAATCTAATGGGATGCTCTGAATGAAGGCCGTAGGCCACCGGATTTTGCCAGGACTGTCTTCATTGGGAGGAGAACATGTTTAATAGAAATGCTGAGCTATAGCAAATGCAGGAAAAAAAAGAAGAATATCCAAAAATCTCCAAGCTACTTGGGAGGGAAAAAAAAGAGTAGTATATTGCATTCAGATTCTCCAGCAGATGGTTCAGACAGAAGCAAAATTCTCAAGAGAACAAGTGCTGGTTTTGTAGACAGATTTCAAGTCAGGGGGAAAAATTGCACACAAGGAAATAATTGGTTAGCAATCTTTGACTTAGCTTTGTAGGACACGCTCAAATAGTGCAGTCATCCAAAGTAACGACGTCTGCAAGAATAGTTTTGGAATTATATCTTCCCCTCACTACACCACCCGCACAAAAAAGCATACACAATATAAGGATGGGGGTATCTTTAACGCTCTCTGAGCTTGGTGGTTTTCTTGCAGATGTTTCATTACCCAACTAGGTAACATCATCAGTGCTAGAAGGGAGTGAGGTTTGCAGACTGGAGGAGAAAGGGAGCCGGGGGAAGAGGACTGTGGGGTGTTTGGTGCTCTCTGATGTTGGTGGTTTTCTTGCAGACGTTTCATTACCAAACTAGGGAACATCATCAGTGCTAGAAGGTAGCAAACCTTACTCCCCTCAAACACTGATGATGTTAGCTAGTTGGTTAATGAGAAGTCTGCAAGAAAACCACCAAATTCAGAGAGCACCAAGGACCCCAGATTGCTAAAATAAATACACTCATACACTCAATACAAGTACCACTTATTTGATGTGTACACAATGAACTAAATAAAAAACATTGAACTAATCCCTCTGTCTCTGTCTCTCTCTCTGTCTCTCTCTCTGTCTCTCTGTCTCTCTGTCTCTCTCTCTCTGTCTCTCTCTCTCTCTGTCTCTCTGTTTCTCTGTCTCTGTCTCTGTCTGTCTCTCTCTCTCTCTCTGTGGGTGTGGGTGTGTTCCAGCATACCTCTGGAGCTCCTTGAACAATTTCAACCAAACTTGGTACACAAATGGCTTACCTTCTGGAAAAAAAAATACTGTGGGGTAAGACACCCCTAACAACCCTTGGTGTGTGTGTTCTGTTAAGATACAGCCTGTTGTGCCTTCAAGTGGCTTCTACTCTACTGCCATAAAATGGCTTCACAGTACTCCATAAGGGGGCTCCCTCTGGTAAGGGGGAAAATCCAACATTAGAAATTACGTTTGGCCAAAGATTTTCCCCCTATAAATAAATACCCATGCCAGGTTATCAGCTAGAATTAAACGAAGGACAGTCGCCCAGAAATCGCTTTGGATAGAGATGGGTGGCATCTTAATTTAATAAATGCATGAAATGAAATAAAAATAAATAAGAGATAGCTACAAGTGGTTGTATTTTTCTCCTACAAGAAAGGCTGATTTCTCCCCACCCTCCAAGAAGCTCAGAAAAGATCACTTATTTCTCCTTAAATGGAGCACAAAGGAAGACATTATTTTAATAATAGTTTTGCGAATGTTTTTTTTTCTCCTTAAAAGGAAGTGGGGGGGAATCCGAAGCACAGATTCTTCCCTCCCCAATTCAGACTGACTCATTGCAAAGTCAATATCCATCAGCTGTTTGAAATTAAAGGGAAGGTTTTATGCGTGCCTTATTGTACAGCAGGAGCTTTCTACTCAGCCAGATAAATCTTCTTTTAAGAGGATTAGGAAACTTTCATTATCTTTATCTAACCTGAACTAACACTAACGCTGAAAAATTAATCTATAGACTGGACAAAAGCCAATAGCAGTTGCTAAGAAGGCAGCCCTCTGGAGTTTCTTTCTAATTGAAGGTGTGGGGGGGCAGAGAAGAAAATACTTAATTCTACTTAGCACTCTGGACGGTGGGGTAGAAAGTTAGTGAGGGGTGGGGGAAGCACTAAGAGAAACAAGAACTTCTCCTAGGCTAATGGACTAAGACATCATGTAATTTCCTGGTGAATCATTTATTTATCAATAGGAAGTATGTGGTGTAGTCCGCCAGTGGCCAGCAGATTCGGAGAGTGAGGAGGCTGGGGAGGATCATGGGCCAGTCCTGGAGTCTGGGGAAGGCTCGGATGAGGGCTCTGTGTCAGAGGCAGAGAGTGGGGTAGAGCCATATGCCAGTGATCAGCTGCCTTCGGAGTCAGACATCAGTGAGGCAGACGAACAGCTGGAGCCTATTCCCAGTGTGCGCATGTGCAGAGTTGCCAGAAAAAGGGAACAGCGAAACAAAAAGGGTCGACTTGGGAGTAAGGCCACAGGTGGATGGTGAATGGCCCCTCCCATAGNGGATGGTGAATGGCCCCTCCCATAGAGAATAAAAGAGGAACAAAAGGGGAGTGGAGTTTGCAGGAGACAATTAGTTTGATTAATTGTTTGGGACTCTCCGAGACTCCTTGCCAAGTTTTACAGGTATGAGCCTGTCACCTCTCCCAGCCAGATAAGGTCTGTGACTGTAAATCCTCCTTTGAAAGACTTTACTGGATGTGAAGGAGCAGAATTCACAGTCAATTACTAAAAGGGGTTTTTGTCGGGTCCAGGAGTTTCCTTCATGCTCTCGGGAAGCCTCGGTCACAACAGTATGCATGGAGGCGAGCAGACAGGTAATTGTGTTTACATGCAACATTCACATCTAAAGTCGGAAAAATTCTTCTACTATGCATCTCTAAGCAAAGGAAATGCAGGCAAATATTCACCTCTGGCACTATAAGCAATCCTTGACTTGCAACAGTCCATTTAGCGACTGTCCAAAGTTACATTGGCCATGAAAAAAGTGACTTATGACCGTTTTTTTCCCCACACTGACAACCATTGCAGCATCTTCAATGGTCATGTGATAAAAAACCAGGTGTTTGGCAACTGGCTCGTATTGATGACAGTTATGCAAGGACCCGGACATCACATGATCCCCTTTTACGACCTGTTGACAAGCAAAGTCAATGGGGAAGCCAGATTCGCTTAACCACCGTGTCAGTAACATAGAAACTGCAGGGTTTCACTTAACAATTGGGACAAGGGGACAAAATGCACTTAACAAATTTCTCACTGAGCAACAGAAATCAGAGGGGGCAATTGTGGTCGTAAGTCGAGGACTACCTGTAATTGAAAGAAGCTCTGACTACCTACCATCAGGTGGGGAAGAATGCAAAAAGACCTTCCATTTCTTTTCTTTATGAAACCACCACAGATAAATTAGTGCTGGGGTTTGATTTAGGGAAGGAGAAGGAGAGAGAGAGAGAGAGGGAGGGAAGGAGGGAGGGAGGGAGGGAGAGACGGTGGGAGGCATTTAAATAGAGCTGCCAATGCAAAACAATGAAAAGGAAAGCAAGGGGATAAACCTTTGCATACGTTAATCCATAGGCATAGCTACAGATTTAGAAATAATTGCTATAATTTGCTCAGGAATGCAGCACATCTCAATATAGCAGACAAGGTAGTAAGCAGGTGATTGATCAGCTTCCTCGGTGTGTGGACCAGGTGTTGATCTGCTGATGTATGATTTCAATGTCCCTGGTCTTATTTCTGATGATATTCCATTTTATAACTTAGATGAACATTTATTTTGCTTTCTTTTAAAACAATCTTAGTTAGGTAAAGGTAAGTAAGTAAGTAAGTAAGTAAGTAGGTAGGTAGGCAGGCAGGCAGGCAGGCAGGCAGGCAGGCAGGCAGAGACAGAGACAGAGACAGAGACAGAGAGGTAGGTAGGTAGGTAGGTAGGTAGGCAGGCAGGCAGGCAGGCAGGCAGGCAGGCAGGCAGAGACAGAGACAGAGACAGAGACAGGGAGGGAGGGAGGTAGGGAGGTAGGTAGGCAGGCAGGCAGGCAGGCAGGCAGGCAGGCAGGCAGAGACAGAGACAGAGACAGAGACAGGGAGGGAGGGAGGTAGGGAGGTAGGCAGGCAGGCAGGCAGGCAGGCAGGCAGGCAGGCAGA